GATGAGACTGGTCTCCAGAGCAAGCTCCTGGACAGACTCCAAAGCCGCAGAGAAACACTGTCTCGGAAAAAACAAACAAACAAACAAACAAACAAAAAACTTTGCCCCAAATAAATGGTTCTCAAAAAACAAACACTTAACTTACCATGTAATAATGTCCACCACCAAAACAATTCCTGAGTGTACTGCCCACCCAGCTAGCTGGCTAAAATCATTTTTCTCTTCTGTTTCTTTAAAGAGCCAATAGCAAAGCAATGCCAAACATTTGGCATTTATTTCTGTAGCCACAAAGGAATACAAAGGCTGTGACAACCATAGTCACCCAACCTGAGGGATGACAAGCCACCTCACTTCTATCCTGCCATTAGTTCCCCAGCCCGAAAGACAGGGCCTCACTACATGGCTCTGGCTGCCCTGAAATTCACAGAGATCCATCTGCCTCTGTTTCCTGAATGCTGGGATTAGAGGTGTGCACCACCAAGCCAAGCTCAGCCAGCACCACATTCTTAAACTACAATAAAACCTGAAAGAAGGCATATCTCTAAAGCTTTTTACCAGGTTTCAGGGGGTCTTGCTCTTAGGGGCATCAAGCTTGACTTCTTAGGGAAAAAAACAGCACTGTTAGGACTTTTAATATCAATCATTGTCTAGGTATGGATTTAGAACTCCCGAACCTGTGTTGACGGAACTATGCTACTGACTGAAGTTATCAGACACACTTACAGCACTGAGAGACTGTACAAATCTCTGGTTCAAAACAACAAAATAAACCAACCTGACACTTAACAGTGACACCTTACTTCCTACCTCACGGCTTAACTACTGTAGGCTGACTACTCAGCTTATGGGATTATTTAGTGCTACTGAAGTCAACATAGTTTTGTTTAGTTATAAACCTTCTTTTTTTTAAAAAAAAGATTTTATTTATTTATTAAGTATACAGTCTTCTGCCGGCAGAAGGGCCAGCAGAGGGCACCAGATCTCATTCAAGGTGGTTGTGAGCCACCATGTGGTTGCTGGGAATTGAACTCAGGACCCCTGGAAGAACAGTCAGTGCTCTTAACCGCTGAGCCATCTCTCCAGCCCCTAGTTATATACCTTTGAAACAGTACTTAAGCAAAATGAAGAAATAGTCAAACACAGGTTCTGCATAAATACTTAAAGCACTGCATATAGACGTGGATGATTAGCATTCATGAGGCCTATGGTGGTCTGAATGAGAGTGGTCTTAATAGGTTCCTATGTTTGAATTCCTGGTCCTGTTTGCAAAGGTGTGGCCTTGATGAAGGTGTGGCCTGGATGAATGTGTGTCACTGGGGATGGGCTTTGAGGTTTCAAAAACCAGCACCATTCCCAGGTTAGTTCTCCCTGCCTCATGCTTATGGATTAGATGTAAACTTTCAGTTACTGCTCCAGTGCCATGCCCTCCTGCCTGCTGCCATGCTGGTCATGAACTCACCCTCTGGAACTGTGAACCCCAAATTAAACTCTTTCTTTTATAAGTTCCCTTGGCCATGGTATCTTATCACAGCAGTAGAGAAGTGACTAAGACAGAATCCTAGCACAGCAAAGAAAGAGAAGTAAGGCAGAGAGAGGAAGGACATGCAAGTAGCTCTGTAGTAGAAATGGCTCTCACATCCTTTTCCATAAAGGGACAGTGAGCAGATCAGGCTCTGCAGCCCTGTGGTCTGCCAATCACTTCAGGGTGCTGTGGTGTGGAAGCAGCCAGCAGGATGCAATCAGTGAGTATGGATGAGTTCCTACTGAATTTTATTTACACACACTGAGACCGTCATCCTGCTTCTTCCTAGGCCATGGAACACCAAGCCCAACCATTCCCGTATTTAGAAAGGGACACCCTGAGCCACATTTTACTGTTGGTTTGAAATGTGGCCAGTGTAAATGAAGTCCTGTATTTCTAAACTCACATAATTTCAATCACTTTCAGTATCAATAGCCATGTGTGGCAGGGGCTGCTGAACTGAACAAGCAGGTCTAACCTGTAAACAGGACAGCTGTGTCCAATATACATCCTGAGCCAAAAATACAAACCCCAAATGTAAGCTATAACTCACTAGAAGTAATAGTCAAAAAAGATCAAAGGAGGCCAGACATGATTCCAATGAAAAGGAAAAAAGGAAAAATAAATAAAAAAGGCAAAGAAACAAGTGAGATTGACTTAGTATGTGTCAAATAACTCACTAAACACATTATATAAGGTGACACATGCTTATAATCCTAAAACATCAAAGGTGGAGACAGAAGGACTAGGAAGACCAGGCCAGCCTTTGCTAGGGAGTTAGTTCAAAGAGAGCATGGATGAGACCCTGTCTCAAAACAAGTAATAACAATAATAAAAGATTACAGCCAGGCAGTGGTGGTGCACGCCTCTAATTCCAACACTCGGGAGGCAGAGGCAGGGGGCTCTCTGTGAGTTCGAGGCCAGCCTAGTCTATAGAGTGAGTTCCAGGACATCCAAGGCTGTTGTTACCCAGAGAAATCTTGTCTCAAAAAACCAAAAACTAAAATAAAATAAAAAGATTACTTATAAACTACTTTATATTCTTTTTTTAAAAAGTTATTTTTGATTTTAAGAACATGGGCATTTTCTATCCATTTGTTTACCAAATGTGTGCCTGGTTGCCCATGGAGGTGAGAAGGCATCAGATCCCCTAGAACTAGTTACAGACAGCTGTGAGCCACAATGTGGGTGTAGGGAACAGACCTGGGTTCTCTGAAAGAGTGGCCAGTGCTCTTAACTCCTAAGCCTTCTCTCTAGCCCTATTTTACACTCTTTATAAACACTAAGACTGTATATGGTATATGACTCATACAGCATATCACATTTGGGCTCATGGCTCTTGCAGAATTTGGTCAACTGTGCTGAGGATTATTCAGAGATAAGGCCGCTTCTGCAGTAAGTTGTAGGCAACAGAAAAATTGGCATCAGGAGATGAGTTCCAAGCAAAAAGGAAATAGCCAGACATTTACAAGATTAAGAGTTTAGAAAATGCACTAAGATTTGGATATGTACCAATGTTATGGAAAGTGGGTATTCCAGAGAAAAAGACAGCTAAGAGACAACCAAACATGACACAGGAACCCAGACAAATTACCTCAGAAAACAGAAAACATTTGTCTTTCACCCATGTCTATGTTCTAGATGGCAGCGTAACACAAAAGTTTCAAACTTTCTCAGCCATAACAGGACTTTGCAACTATAGAGAATACCACCTTCAGATTGCATTTGCATTTGTTTTTGTTTCGAGAAAAGTGTCAAAAATATACCAGACTCAACCCCAACTCAAGAGATCCACCTGCCTCAGCCTCCAAAGTGTTGGAATTAAAGGCGTGTACCACCTTGCCCAGCCACCTTCAAACTGTCCAAGCTTTTTTTTTTCTTTCCTTTTTTTTGTGCTAGGCAAGTGCTCTATGAGTCAACTGTATCTCTAGCCCTGAGAATGATAACAGGAGACATCCAGAGCCACAAATAAAACGGAAAAGGAATATATATGCTCTCCACTAGTCTTTAAGCTTTGTATCTAGAAATTTTTGTACAAAGTCACTGGTTTATCTTGGTGGGTTTTAAAAAATTATTTAATGGTTTTTGTTTATTTATTTTATTGGTTCTTCGCTTACATATACGTCTGTGTGAGAGTGTCAGATCCCCTGGAACTGAAGCCACAGAGAGTTGTGAGCTGCCATGTGGGTGCTGGGAATTGAAGCCAGTGCTCTTAACTGCTCAGTCATCTCTCCAGCACAACTTGGTGGTTCTTAAATACCAGTCAGTCTATACTGTCATCACCTAGAAAACTAATTTCTTCTCATTCATTTTCTTTCTTTCCTTTTTGAGATAGGGTCTCTTGTGCACATTAAGCTGGCCTATACCCCTTGATCTTCCTGCCTTTACCTCCCAAAATGCCAGAATCAATGATAGGCACTTCCATCTCTCAGTTTACGAGTCTCAGATGTTAAACCTAGGACTTTGTGCAGGCCTGTCTCTGTTTATAGCCTCAGCCCCTCAAAAAACTTTTTAAAGAAAATTCTGAGTTTTGAACCTCAGTAGCAGAGCCAAAAAGATTCTAAAACAACTTTACTGTGTGCCAGGTTTATGGACTTCATGTTAAATCTTATATCACAGATGTTCTGGTCACTAAGCTGAGGGACAGTCACCATACTTACTTGTTGGAACAGGTATCATACAATCCTACTTTTCCATCATCAGTTCCAAACGCCAAGCAGCCCTCCTTGTTTGGGTGCCAGCATAACTACAAGAGAAGTTACCAGATGAGAGATGAGTGCACAGAAAGGAGTCTGTATGCAGTCCTGACTGTTTCATGGGAAACTTTCTTGCTCTTCATTTAATTCTTTTGCTTAACAGTAACAAGAAGGACTAAAACAAGATGAAGGGCCAGTAAGGCTCAGCAGGTAAAAGCATTTGCCTCCAAGCCTTTACCACCTGAGTTCAACCTCCCAAGGCCCACATGAAGAGGGAAGAACTGACCCCCCCACACACACATAAATAAATGCAGCAAGAAAAAGAGTAACAAAGTTAAAATCCCTGCATTCTCAGCACCCCTAGGTAACCCAGAGGCAATCCCACATGCCTCAAACATCCAGAGTTTAGACCACCAGAAGTTCATCTCATCATAGATACTTTTAAACATCCTTTGATTTCCAATAGTGTCTAAAAGAATATGAAAAAATCTCCAAGAAGCCCCCTTACCGCTGTAACCTTGGACTTGACACCTTGCCAGAAGTTTTTTACATCATAGTTGTTCTTTATGGAGAGCGTATTCCACACCCGGATCATGCCGTCCCCAACACCTATGGCCAGGCAGCCCACGTCCACAGGAGAAAAGGCCAGGCTGTAGGCAAAACCTCCAAGAGAAGGCAATGTCCAACAGCACTCTAGGGTGGCCATGTCCCAACATTTTACCTAAAAAAAGAGTAAAGGTTCAAAAAAGCAAAGAAATGGGGGTTAAGAATTAAATATTTCGGGTAGGCGGTGGTGGCGCATGCCTTTAATCCCAGCACTTGGGTGGCAGAGGCAGGCAGATCTCTGTGAGTTCGAGACCAGCCTGGTCTACAAGAGTTAGTTCTAGGGCAATATCCAAAGCCACAGAGAAACCCTGTCTTGAAACCTCCTCCCTGCCTCCAAAAAAAGAATTAAATATTTCAAATGGGATTTAATTTAATTCTTCCAGAGGAAACTGGAAGAAGCTTCTCTCATGAGGAAACAAACCTGCAATTTAGTCACTAAGCTCAAATGGATCTAGTTGTACATTCATTCCCTGGCATATTTAGTGAATTCAGCATCCTGAACCCAATCAGGAATGGAGAGCACGGGGTTACCATCTCCCCAGGTCACAGCACTGCTAACCACCCCTCTCACAACTCTGTAAGAATGGGCATGGCCTCCACAAAGAGCATCAAGAGCTGCTGCCTGACAAGTCATGCACGTCACTCCCAGGGGGGTGCAGGAGAAAAATGATGCCTAAATCAAGGGCTAGAGCCACAGCTCAGTTGGTGGAGCACCTGCTTAGCATGAGGCCATGGCTCCAACCAAAAGTACAACCAGGTGTGGTTACAACACTTGGAAGATGGAGGCAAAAGGATCCGAGGTTCAAGGTAATGAGGGATTCAAGCCAAACTAGGCTAGAGGCCTGTCTCCAAAGTGTCTCTAGCTGGGAGGTGGTAGCTCATATTTTTAATCCTGGCACTTGGGAGGCAGAGGGTGGCATATCTCCATGAGTTTGAGGCCAGCCTAGTCTACAGAGCTAGTTATACACAGAGAAATCCTGTCTCAAACCTCCCCTCCCCGGGAGAAAAAAAAAAAAAAAAAGTGTCTCTAGCCACTCTTCACAGCCTCTGCTGTTGCCATATCCAGTACACTTGATAGCAGGGGATCTGAATGGAATGCAGATGTGTATGAGGCCATTCACCTTCCAGCCCTATCCCCGTGACACACCACTTCTCCAAACAAAGGCGGAAACCAGTTCTTACATCTCTGTCCATGGATGTGGACAGTAGCAGCTGCTTGCCATCCTCAGTCTTCAGAGGACACAAATTGAACACAATTCTGGAGTGATTCTGTCCTTCTGCTGAAGTGCTGAAGAGCGTGTACTTCCGCCTCCATGACTGGGTGAGGTCCCACAGCAGCAGCTCACCTCTGAAAGAAAAAGAGCACACCTCTCACCAGACGTCAGTATGGCTATCTAGCCAGGTCTGGAACCTCAGTGGCAGAAGAATGTGATAATTGCTCCTATGGTAACTTCAAAGTCCAAAGATTAGCGTGGCTGAGGAGAGACACTAGAGAGACTAAGTCTTCTTCTCAGCTCAAGAGGCTCCCTGACAGGAAGCAGAATGCACACTGCTCTCACAAGGAGAATGGGGTCTGCTATGGGGAACACTCATCCAGAATCTACAAGTGGGTTGATCAGTTTCTGACAGAGTTTACAACCAGCTTAAACTGTGGGTCCCAACTGCTGGGCCTGCTGCATACCCCCTCCCTTGGTGGCCATACTTTCTGTTTTACAAATGTATTATGTACCCAAACAGAACTGTTCTTTTGCTGGGTGATGGTGGCAGCAGCACATGCCTTAATTTCAGCACTCGAGACAGAGGTGGAGCTCTGTGAATTCCTGGTCTACAGAGCAAGTTCCAAGACAGCCACAGCTACACAGAGCCTGATCTGATTCCTATCTCTAGAATCCACAAGATGGAGAAAACCAATTCCTGAAGGTTGTCCTCTCAACTCCACACACACGCCATGGCATACACGTGCAAACACAAACAATAAATACACAACCCTTTGAAATATTTTTAAAACAAAGCAAAGAAACTGCAACACACACCCTCTTTACTCTATCTAGAGGAAGGAAAAGGAAGTACCTCTGCAAGGTATCGAGGGAAGGACACTTGTGCTCTTTTACTCTTGAAACCTCAATGTACAGGACTACCATTTAAAAAGTTTTTTGAGGGGCTGGAAAGATGGAACAGTGTCTAAGAACATTGGTTACTATTCCAGAGGGCCTGGCTCAATTCCCAGCACCCACATGGTAGCTCACAACTGTCTGACTCTAGTTCCAGGAGACCAGGCACCCTCACACAGACATACATGCAATGCAGACAAAGCTAGCCTTAAGATCATTCTGCCTCAGCCTCCAGAGGATTGGCCATTTTAGGCATGGGCTACCACATCCATGTCTCTTTTAAAGACATTTCTCTTCATATGTAGTTTTAATTTTGAGGTGGTAGATGTCAGTAGGAGCTGACATCTGGGCAATTTGCATGTGCTTTTCTGTATTGTCTTATTTAAAAGTAAGAGACTAGCCTGTGAAATTCTTTCTGCATCTTTGGCAATCAGGGGCAGCTTGGCACTGTATTTAGTCTTTGCTCTTTTCTGGCATGTATCTCTGAAGCAGTCTCTTTTGAACATTAAGCTAGTATCTGCAGTTTCTAGGTAGCTTCAAGATGTGGGCTGGTCACTCAGCAGACCCAGGCAGGATAGAGGAGTGACTTGCAGTCCCAATCTTAAGGAAGGGGAGGGATTAAGATAAGCTGGTCACCAATGGCTACGTTAATTACATATATATAATGATGATTCCATAAAACCCAAAGAGGGAATGGAGAGGCCTTCTCTCTCCCACATGCTGCCCTGTGCATCTCAACTGCACCCCCTTGAATATCCTTACAAACAGGTGAGTTTTATGAGTGGCTCATGCCAGTGAACTCAAAGAGGGAACCCTGGTTTACAGAGAAGCTCAAGTCAAACCACCTACGGTTTTCAACTAGCATACACATTTGTGCATGGGTCGGGGGGAATGACAGGGCAGACCCAAAGAGCCATGATTCTGTTAGTAAACAGCACAGGCCTCACAAATTTTCCCATCTATCATTTCAATTATTATCCCAAGACCGCTGGGCAAGGTGAGGTACTTGAGAAGCTGAGGCAGGAGGATCCTAAATTCTAGGCCAATCTGTGTCATAAGTAAGACTCTGTCTTAAAAAGAAAAAGCCGGGAGTTGGTGGCACACACCTTCAATCCCAGCACTCCGGAGGCAGAGGCAGGCGGATCTCTGTGAGTTCCAGGCCGACCTGGTCTCCAGAGCAAGTGCCAGGATAGGCTCCAAAGCTACACAGAGAAACCCTGTCTCGAAAAAAATCAAAAAAAGAAAAGAAAAGATGAATTACAATGGTAACATAAACCCTGGCTATTTCTCCATTTTCTTTCTTCTTTCCAAGACTGGGTTTTTCTATTTAGCCTGGCTGTCCTGGAACTCGAAATGTAGACCAGGCTTGCCTTGAACTCAAAATTCACCTGCCTCTACCTCCCAAGTGCTTTGACTAAAGGTGTGTGCCACCTATTTCTTCATTTTCTGAACATACAATAAGCCTGGCAATCTCTGAATCTGAACAGGAAAATCATATTTATTAGAAAGCATGGCTCCAAGACTTACCCAAAACAACTGGATACCAGCTGTGTTGGCTGGTTCTTGGGCCAATGAAGTGTTAACCAAAGACGTTCTTTAACTGTTGGGTCCACACCCCCTCCTCTTCTTTTCAGAAAGGGCAATTTCAAAACCATTATACCTGTAGATTAAAAGAAAGTCAATGAGCTCTCAAGACAGTGAAAGAGTAACCAGAACCTCCCAGAAATCCTCAATTCTATGGTCTGTAAGTTGTTTGGTTAAATTATAGTAAAACCTCTGGGGCTAGAATGACGACTCAGTAAAGTGCTTGCCATGTAAGCATGAAGACCTCAGCTCAGGCCACTAAAAAGAAGCTTGCCGCAGTGGGGACATAGACACAGGCAGATCCCTGGAGCTTGCTAGCCAGCTGATAGTAAGGCCAGCTAGCTAGCCTCATCACTGAGCTGCAGGTTCAATGAGCTCCTGTCTCAAAATACAAGGCTGAGAGAAACAACAACAAACAAACAAACATGAAGAACTGAGGAAGAAACCCAACATCACCTCCATCCACATGTGTACACGTAAGAAACACCTCCTTTTATTATGGAGACATTACTAAGATAGAAGTTAATTCCAATCTAGCCATATAGGCCAAACAAGCTTTTACAGGTTATCTGCAAACTTGAAAAATGAAGAGCATTTTTTGTCTGGGATAGGCTGGGGAGACAACCCAGTTCATGAAGTGATTGGATTGCAAGCATTAAGATTTGAGTTTGATCCCCAGGACCCATATGAAAAACCAGGCATGGCCCATATGCTTGTCCAAGGGGTAGGGAGACAGAAGTAGGGCTCCGTGGCCAGCTTCCAGCCTAGTAGACTTGTCAAGTTCCAAGTCAGTGAGAAACCGTGTCTTTAAATGGCACCTGAGTAATAACACAGAAGATTATTCTTTGGCCTGCAGATGCATGTGCACACAACATGAACACACACGTGAGTATTTTTATGTGAAAAAATGAGTTCCTAAGTAGAATGAGAACCTACCCGAGGTTTTCAGCAATTGCAGGACAGTGGAATTTTCCTAGGTCAGGGTTCTCAACCTTCCTATGCTGCCCTTTAATATAAGTCCTCATGTATGGTGACCTCCAACCATTAAAATTATATAAATTGATACTTCATAACTATAATTTTGCGATTGCTATGAATCATAATGTAAATATCTGATATGCAGGACATCTGATAAGCAACCCTGTGAAAGGGTTTCGACCCACAGGTTGAGTTGGTTATCTCTTAAGGGGCAAATTTGGCAGTCAACACATTGGGTAAGGGAATCCTCCACCAGTACTGACCCAGAGGGCTGTAAGGTTCATCAGAACTTCAAGTACAGCATTAAAAACACACATGCCAGGGTCTAAATTCAGAGATTTTATTTAGGAGAGTCCAAGTGGAGTTCAGACAACTGAACTTTTCATTCTCCCCAGCAGGTCTGCTGTACAAAGGGAACCCAAGGCCACTGTGTATAGCCATCATGTTCAGGGATCCTTAGACAGGTGTCCTGGGAAGTCTACTTGGGGGGGGTTGTGTGTTTAGATTAATTTGAACAAAGTAGTGATCCTGGCAAGACAGCTCAGTGGTCAATGTGCTCGACACACAAATCTGATGACCTGAGTCTAATCCCAGAACCCACATAAAGATATGAGGACAGAACTGCTGACTCTAGAGCTGCCTGACTCTCATATGTGCGTATCCTGTACCCAACAGGACTAAATAAAAATTTGAAGACAATGTGAACACAACACACTTGTTCATGTGCACAGAGCACATGCTGGACTGTATCACCTGCTCTTATTCGTCCCTAGAAGCTACAACTCAGGTTTTTTCCATTCTTAAGAATCTAGGAGCCAGGAGATGGTGGTGCACGCCTTTAATCCCAGCACTCGGTTGACAGAGGCAGGCAGATCTCTGTGACCTCGAGGTCAGCCTGGTCTACAGAGTGAATGCCAGGAAAGGCTCCAAAGCTACAGAGAAACCTTGTCCCAAAACACCAAAAAAAACCCAAAAAACAAAAACAAAAAAAACAAACCCCAAACAAAACAAAAACAAAGAATCAAGGAAAGCCCATTATTCCTGTCCTTACAGTAAAGATGTTGTTCTTAGGTGGATCATCATGATTCTGAGGTCACCTTGGTCTACACAGAAGCTCTAGGACAGCCTTGCTTTGCATGACAGGCATGGCTCCTTCAGCAAAGCACGGGTCCTTGCCTCCTGGAAGGCACCAGAAAACAGACACAAAAGCCAGATGTCCAGAACAGAGAACTCTAACCAGGACACAGGGGATAACCACTTTCTGACAACAGATTTTGGACAGATGATATTCTTGGAATAAGATGAAACAAGTAGCTAATTCTACTGTAGCAGTACAGGCTTTGCCACCAAAGAGACCCTGAGACAGAATACAGAAAACCTGGAAAGAGAGTCTCAGTGAGGTATTATCTAGATTAGTTTGGCCTCTGAGCATAACTGTGGGGGAACTGTCTTGATTGCCAACAGCCATAGAAGGGCCCAGCCCACTATGGGATATGTATCCTTGGGTAGGTGGTCCCAGGCTGTATAAGAAAGTTAAGCCACGTAGTAAGCCACCAGTGGTTTTCCTCCACCGGATGGTTTCTGCTTCAAGTTCCTCCTTGACTTCCTTCAATGACAGACTGCAACCTATAAGTGGAAAGAAAACCTTTCCTTCCCTAAGTTACTTTTGGTCTGTGTTTTGTTAAAGCAACAGAAACGAAGCTAGAACACAGCCTATAAATGGGTGGCATCATTCTTGGTTTAGGTACTGAACTGTGGAAGAGTAGAGGAAGCTGAGCAGCAGTGTGCATGCACACACTGTCCCCAACTGTGGATCTAACTAGCTGCTTCAAGTTCACTCTGACTTCTCTAAAACAAAGGACTGTAGAGGGCTGCAGAAAAAAATGACTCAGCGGTTAGGAGGACTTGTTGCTCTTCTAGAAATGCCAGGCTCAGTTTCCAGCACCCACATGGTGACCAAGAACAGTTTATAACCCCAGCTCCTAAAGGATCCAATGCCCTCTTCTGGCCTCCATGAGCACATACATAGTACACAGACATATGTGTATGCAAAATACCCAAACACACAAAACAAAAGCAAATCAATCTTTAAAAAATAATAAAATGATGGACTGAAACCTAGAGTAAGCTGACTTCACTCTTACTCCTTCCAAGTTGGTTTGTTGTGGTTATTTCACCACAGAAATGAAAGTAGGACCCTAGGCATCAACCTTACCCCGTCCTCGGGAACAACTCCAGATTCGAATGGTCTGATCCTTGCTTCCCGTGGCTAAGTAGCAGCCTTTTGTGATGGGGGTTTCTGCTATAAGTTTCCCATTTGGAATGTCAGGTTCTTCTAGGAAAGAGATGTCAATTTTATTTTTACTTTACACTGAACAGGCACTTGTGATTAAAAAAAAAAAAAAAAAAAAAGTTACTTCCCAAAACTCAGTTCTCTCTCCCTTTCCTAGTTTGATCTGTGAGGCTCAAGTTTTACCTGTAATTCAGAAGTTGCAATTCTACACTTAGTTCTTTATGTCTAAAAGTACAGAACCTCCTTCAATCGTCTTACCTGAGTTTTCCTCTTGGTTTATGGATAAGCAGTCTTCACCAAACAGAGGACACCAGGCTATGGAGTGGATTTCATCATCGTGACCCCGAAGCCTGTGAATGACTTCTCCCTTCTTACTGATGTCAATGATAACCACTATACCATCCTTGTAGCTGAAAAATACGTTAGAAATATTGCAGGGGCCTGCAGATCCATACTGCTAAGCCTCTCACCTTTCTGAGCTCTAATCCATAACTTGCCCTTCTCTTCCTTTTTTTTCTTCAGATACTAGTTTAAATCCTTTGCAGGCTTGATCCGAGACTCTAGATTCTACTCTTTTTTCTTAAGACTCTCTTCCCACCATCCCCCACCTCCTTTTACAGCTATTTGCAAACCGCCAGGGCTTCTTAACTAAAAAGACATGACTTTTCCCATTTCCACCCACTCCTTCCAGGACCCGCTAGATTTACAACTTGTCTGTATTGTTACTGCCCTGAAAGTGGAAGCAAATTATTTTACAATGTTACTAAAAAATAAAGACAGCTAGCTAATAAACATTTCTTCTTTTTTGAGACAGCCTCATGCATCCTATACTGGCCACAAACACACTATGTGCAGAGATCACAGGCATGAGCCAACATATTTGCTTAATGCAGAGTACAGGGGACTGAACCCAGGGCTTTGTATATGCTAGACAAAGTCTACCAGAGGAGCTACATTTTTAGCTCCACAATTAATACTACTTTCTCATTACAAACCTAACGAGTACTATTATATTGTGTGATGGTTTGAATAGAAATGGCCCCCACAGACTTATGTGTTTGAATGCTTGGCCAATAAGGAATGGCACTATTAGGAGCTACGGCCTTGTTGGAATAGATATGGCCTTGGTGGAAGAAGTATGTCACTGGGGGAGGGAGGGTGGGCTTTGAGGTCTCAGATGCTCAAGCCACACTCTGTGTGGCAGTCTCTTCATGCTGATTCCAGATCAAGATGCAGCACTCAGATCCTTCTCCAACACCATGTCTGCCTGCTTCTTGCCATGAGGATAATAGACTAAACCTCTGAACTGTAAACCAGACCAAATTAAATGTTTTCTAAGAGTTGTCGTGATCATGGTGTCTCTTTACACCAACAAAAACAAACCCTAAGACACGCTGTATCCTAGAGCTGTATTTGTCCTAAGCGTCAATCTATGAATTGACAGAAACTGAGAAATTCTAATAGCTTTTAAAAAAATGAATTATTCTATACACATTATAAAGTATCTACTGGGGGTTGGATAGACAGCTCATCAGTTAAGAATACTGGCTGCTCTATAGAAGATCTAAAGTTGCAGCATCAAGGTGGCTCACAACCATCTGTCACTCATCCCAGAGGATCTGATGCCCTCTTCCGGTTTAGGGCACGCAAGCACTTGGTGCACAAACATATGCAGGTGAAATATCTATACATGTTAGAAACACACACATACACACACACACACACACACACACACACACACACACACACACACACACACACACACACCAACCAAACAACAAACCCTGAACCAGCAGTTCTCAATCATGACCCTTTCACAGGGTAGTTTCAGACTATTAGAAAACAGGTATTTACATTACAATTCATAACAGTAGCAAAATTAATTATGAAGTAGCAACAAAAATAATTTTATGGTTGGGGGTCACCACAAAATATGAGGAACTGTATTAAAGGGTCACTATTAGGAAGGTTGAGAAATCACTGCCTTAAAGTATCTACTACCTAGCTAAGGGGGGAAAAATGAACATCAAAACAGATTATATGACCCATCACCACCAAATTTATGCTTTGCTTTCAGAGAAGTAGCCAATGTTTCTGATTTGTAATCTAGCATCCCTATCCTTTCTTTATAAATGTTCCCAAGTAAGACACAATTTTATTTTGTATACATAAAAGCTTCAAAATGGTATCATGAGGGGATGGAGAGATGGCACAGAGGTTAAGAGCACTGGCTGCTCTTCCAGAGGTCCTGAGTTCGATTCCCAGTAACCACATGGTGGCTCACAACCATCTGTAATGAGATCTGGTGGAAATTTTCTATGACTAAATTTTATTTAGAAATAAAAAATTAAAAAAAAAAAAAAAAAAGGTATCATGAAGCTGGCTTTCTTTGTTCTGTTTGTGAGGTATATGTTAGGATATGTAGCACAATAAATAAAAGACCCAGAGACAGATATTGGGGTTCAAGCTTCAAGATAAAGATCAGAAAAACAAAGCTCTTACCTCTACCTCAGCTCAGACCAAAGGGGCAGTCCTCAAACTGCTCCCAACTTCACTGCTCCTCAGATTCACTCAGATTGCTATGCTTTCTTCAAGGTGGCTAGAGACTAACTCTCAGACTGAGTGCTAGATCTGAGACCCTCCTCCTGTCTTATATACCTCCCTAATGCTGGCATTAAAGGTGTGTGATCCCAGGTGCTGAGATCACCTTTGTGAGAGCTGTTTCTTTTAGGACTAGATCAATTTTGTGTAATCAGTGTGGCCTTGAACTAACAGAGATCCATCTACCTCTTAATCCTGAGTCCTGGGTTTAAAAGCGCTTATCACCACTGCCTGATCTCTATTGCTTGAGGTGACTTTGCTTTCTGAATCCTCAGACAAGCTTTAATAAATCATAAATAATATATCACCACAAGGATACATGTATTCCTAGTCCAGGTACATGGTGCCAGACCCAGAGCAGAGTCATCCGACACTCTGGAGTTAATGCCACATCTAAGGATAGTATAAGCCAAGAGAGAAAGAACACACTACTAATATTTGGAGGATGACTGAAAAAATTAGATGGAAAGAAAGAAGAAAGCATAATATCATGGTAATGGTGGAGTAGAGAAAAGCACAGACCTAGTGATCACATGACACCAGGGCTGCAAGCTTCCTCTGAGGATTTAAGTATACAAGGCAAGGAGAATGAAAAGCAGGACCGTAAATTAAATAAACCAACAGACAGCACAGTACTTGGTACTCACCCAATGGCTACTAAATCTTCATGATGAGGCGAACAAGTAAGACAGAAAATGGTCCTGGGCTCCGTGAAGATGTGCTGGCTGTCATTTCTGTTAAGCCAGTAACAGAAAACAACTCCTTTTTCATCCCCGGAGACTATTAAGTCCTTAACTGTCGGAGACCAATGCAGTGCTGATATTGTGTGCTTCAAACAAAGCAAAGCCAGATGAGTCTCATCTGTCAACGTACTATAAACCAGCCTAATGTTAGGCACATTACAAGCGCTTAAGAAATGTGCTATAACTCCCTGTACAGTAATATATTCAATCTGAAGTGAGAACTTTTTTTGTTTTTGAAACACAGTCTCACTTTGTAGTCCAGGATGGCCTGGACTCAGAGAGATCCTCTTGCCTCAGTCTCCTGAGCACTAAGAATGCAGCCACACACCACCACACCTGACCTTCTGCATGATACACACACACACACACACACACACACACACACACACACACACACACACACACACACACACAGGCAAACTACTTATACACATACAAAATAAAATAAAACAAAATATCAAAACTCAGGTCATCAGGCTTACTTGACAAGCACTTTGACCTGGAAGGCCATCTAATCTGTCCTGGTGTTTATTTTATGTAAACCTATTTGACTCTGTTAGATTTTGTAGGTCATGCTGTCACTGTTCCTCAACTCTGTTGCTATATCATGAAAGCAGCCACAGATAAGACCACAGATAAGAATTAGTGACCAAGGGCTAAAGAGATGGCTCAGTGGTTAAGGGCATTGAATGCTCTTCCAGAGGTCCTGGGTTTGATTTCTAGAACTTACATGATAGCTCACATAGAAAAACTACCAAAATACATAAAAGACTTATTTACTATGTGTAACCACACTTTTGTATTACTTTCACAAATAGGTAGCATAGTTAACTTGTGGTCTGACTGCTTACCCCACCCCCACCCCCAGCAGACAGAATCTCTTATACACCAGGCTGGCCTTGAATCCTTGAAATGCCTTCATTTTCCAAGTGCTAGAATTATAGGTGTGCACCATCCTGCCCATTTACACAGTTCTAGGGGTTGAGCCCAGGGTTTTGTGTATGCTAGGCAAGCACTCTACTGAGTTACATTCCCTACCTTAAACTCTGCTCTCTAAGATAGATAGACAGACAGACAGACGCAACTTAAAAGGTCTTGGAAGACCTTCTGATATATCTAACTAATGAACACAAATTACTAACATTCCTCACAAGGATGAGACATATTAAAACACTGAGGACTCAGGATGAACATTACCTGATGGAGTGAGTGCTCTGTCACCACTGCCTTGGTCTCTACATCCCAGATTTTCACAGTCCCATCATCTGAGCTGGTGGCACAGAGGTTGTATTGTCCAGGGTGATGAGAAAAAGTGAAGCCAGATACTCTTTCAGTGTGTCCCACCAACTCTCCTACAACTGCAAGTAAAACCAGACTTGTTAAACTAAACCACTATCCAGACAATCAGACAGTTTGCTGCTGGATGAACAGGAGTCACTTAACACAGTGGAACAAAACCATCCATAGATTTCCCAACAGAAATGCCAGGTGCCAGTATCCCGGGAACTTCACACAGGTTCATTTTCTTTGAACCTCACTCAGTATTCTCATCTATAAAGCAATGTTCACGTCCTTTGTTGGGCCAAGTACACAGGTCGAGGACCAGTCAGTCCACAGGTGAACGTGAAAGCCATTTTTACTTAATCTTGCCATTGGTCATAAGGAATAGAATAAGCTGGTTTTTCATAACATAACGCATAATCAAACCCTAGTTTTTTGTTTGCTTCATTTTCTTTTGAGTCGGGATCTTGCCATGGAGCCCTAGTTGGCCCGGAAATCACTTTTGTAGCCTAGGCTGGCTTTGAACGCGCGGCAATCCTCCAGCCTCAGCCTCCCGAATAGTTGGGATCACATACAAGCATCATTTGGCGCAAATTCAGACTCACCCCATTCATCCCACAGAAATCAGCTGAGGATCTGGGATTTACTGGG